CTATGTGGGGGTGAACGTGGGTGTGGGTATGCATGGAGCTATGTGGGGGTGAACGTGGGTGTGGGTGTGCATGGGCCTATGTGGGGGTGAACATGGGTGTGGGTGTGCATGGAGCTATGTGGGGGTGAACGTGGGTGTGGGTGTGCTTGGGGCCTATGTGGGGGTGAACGTGGGTGTGGGTGTGCATGGAGCTATGTGGGGGTGAACATGGGTGTGGGTGTGCATGGGCCTATGTGGGGGTGAACGTGGGTGTGGGTGTGCATGGAGCTATGTGGGGGTGAACATGGGTGTGGGTGTGCATGGAGCTATGTGGGGGTGAACATGGGTGTGGGTGTGCATGGAGCTATGTGGGGGTGAACATGGGTGTGGGTGTGCATGGAGCTATGTGGGGGTGAACATGGGTGTGGGTGTGCATGGAGCTATGTGGGGGTGAACATGGGTGTGGGTGTGCATGGAGCTATGTGGGGGTGAACGTGGGTGTGGGTGTGCATGGGCCTATGTGGGGGTGAACGTGGGTGTGGGTGTGCATGGGGCTATGTGGGGGTGAACGTGGGTGTGGGTGTGCATGGAGCTATGTGGGGGTGAATGTGGGTGTGGGTGTGCATGGGGCTATGTGGGGGTGAACATGGGTGTGGGTGTGCATGGGGCTATGTGGGGGTGAACGTGGGTGTGGGTGTGCATGGGGCTATGTGGGGGTGAACATGGGTGTGGGTGTGCATGGGCCTATGTGGGGGTGAACATGGGTGTGGGTGTGCATGGAGCTATGTGGGGGTGAACGTGGGTGTGGGTGTGCATGGAGCTATGTGGGGGTGAACATGGGTGTGGGTGTGCATGGAGCTATGTGGGGGTGAACATGGGTGTGGGTGTGCATGGAGCTATGTGGGGGTGAACGTGGGTGTGGGTGTGCATGGGGCTATGTGGGGGTGAACGTGGGTGTGGGTATGCATGGAGCTATGTGGGGGTGAACGTGGGTGTGGGTGTGCTTGGGGCCTATGTGGGGGTGAACGTGGGTGTGGGTGTGCATGGAGCTATGTGGGGGTGAACATGGGTGTGGGTGTGCATGGGCCTATGTGGGGGTGAACGTGGGTGTGGGTGTGCATGGAGCTATGTGGGGGTGAACATGGGTGTGGGTGTGCATGGAGCTATGTGGGGGTGAACGTGGGTGTGGGTGTGCATGGGCCTATGTGGGGGTGAACGTGGGTGTGGGTGTGCATGGGGCTATGTGGGGGTGAACGTGGGTGTGGGTGTGCATGGAGCTATGTGGGGGTGAACGTGGGTGTGGGTGTGCATGGGGCTATGTGGGGGTGAACATGGGTGTGGGTGTGCATGGGGCTATGTGGGGGTGAACGTGGGTGTGGGTGTGCATGGGGCTATGTGGGGGTGAACATGGGTGTGGGTGTGCATGGGCCTATGTGGGGGTGAACATGGGTGTGGGTGTGCATGGAGCTATGTGGGGGTGAACGTGGGTGTGGGTGTGCATGGAGCTATGTGGGGGTGAACATGGGTGTGGGTGTGCATGGAGCTATGTGGGGGTGAACATGGGTGTGGGTGTGCATGGAGCTATGTGGGGGTGAACGTGGGTGTGGGTGTGCATGGGGCTATGTGGGGGTGAACGTGGGTGTGGGTATGCATGGAGCTATGTGGGGGTGAACGTGGGTGTGGGTGTGCTTGGGGCCTATGTGGGGGTGAACGTGGGTGTGGGTGTGCATGGGCCTATGTGGGGGTGAACGTGGGTGTGGGTGTGCATGGGCCTATGTGGGGGTGAACGTGGGTGTGGGTGTGCATGGGGCTATGTGGGGGTGTATGTAGGTGTGCATGGGTGTGCTTGGGGCCTATGTGGGGGTGAACATGGGTGTGGGTGTGCATGGAGCTATGTGGGGGTGAACGTGGGTGTGGGTGTGCATGGAGCTATGTGGGGGTGAACATGGGTGTGGGTGTGCATGGAGCTATGTGGGGGTGAACATGGGTGTGGGTGTGCATGGAGCTATGTGGGGGTGAACGTGGGTGTGGGTGTGCATGGGGCTATGTGGGGGTGAACGTGGGTGTGGGTATGCATGGAGCTATGTGGGGGTGAACGTGGGTGTGGGTGTGCTTGGGGCCTATGTGGGGGTGAACGTGGGTGTGGGTGTGCATGGAGCTATGTGGGGGTGAACGTGGGTGTGGGTGTGCATGGGGCTATGTGGGGGTGTATGTAGGTGTGCATGGGTGTGCTTGGGGCCTATGTGGGGGTGAACATGGGTGTGGGTGTGCATGGAGCTATGTGGGGGTGAACGTGGGTGTGGGTGTGCATGGAGCTAATTGGGGGTGAACATGGGTGTGGGTGTGCATGGGCCTATGTGGGGGTGAACATGGGTGTGGGTGTGCATGGAGCTATGTGGGGGTGAACGTGGGTGTGGGTGTGCATGGAGCTATGTGGGGGTGAACGTGGGTGTGGGTGTGCATGGAGCTATGTGGGGGTGAACGTGGGTGTGGGTGTGCATGGAGCTATGTGGGGGTGAACGTGGGTGTGGGTGTGCATGGAGCTATGTGGGGGTGCACGTGGGTGTGGGTGTGCATGGAGCTATGTGGGGGTGAACATGGGTGTGGGTGTGCTTGGGGCCTATGTGGGGGTGAACGTGGGTGTGGGTGTGCATGGGCCTATGTGGGGGTGAACGTGGGTGTGGGTGTGCATGGGCCTATGTGGGGGTGAACGTGGGTGTGGGTATGCATGGAGCTATGTGGGGGTGAACGTGGGTGTGCGTGGGGTGTACGTAGGTGTGCGTGGGTGTGTATGGGGCTATGTGGGGGTGAACATGGGTGTGGGTGGGGTGTACATAGGTGTGCATGGGTGTGCTTGGGGCCTATGTGGGGGTGAACGTGGGTGTGGGTGTGCATGGAGCTATGTGGGGGTGAACATGGGTGGGGTAGGGTGTACGTAGGTGTGCGTGGGTGTGCTTGGGGCCTATGTGGGGGTGAACGTGGGTGTGGGTGTGCTTGGGGCCTATGTGGGGGTGAACGTGGGTGTGGGTGTGCTTGGGGCCTATGTGGGGGTGAACATGGGTGTGGGTGGGCTGCTGCTGTCTCTCACGATACTCACTTTACTTCTTTGCACTTATTTATTTATTTTGGTTGGTCGTGGGCCTGAACTCTGGGCCTGGGCGCTGTCCCTCAGTTCTTTAGCTCAAGGCCAGTGCTCTACCACTTGAGCCACAGCGCCACTTCTGGTTTTCTGAGTGGTTTATCGGAGATGAGAGTTTTACAGATGTTCCTGCCCCGGCTGGCTTTGAGTGGCGATCCTCAGATCTCAGCCTCCTCAGTAGCTAGGATGACAGGCGTGAGCCACCGGCAACCGGCTACTTCTTTGCACTTAAACCCAGAATTGGTGTTGCTGGTGGTGTGGGGCCTCGACTTCTAATGTGTTGTGTTGTTGTTTGTGAACCAGGCTGGTCTGGAGCCCACCCTGGTGCCCAGCTGGCCTCCTGCTCTGCCTCCCGAGTGCTGGGGTTACAGGCATGTACCACGTCTGCCTTCTAGTTCTAGCAAAGGGACATCTGCATTGTTTTCTGTAACGAAGAGACATAGGACTCAGGTTCTTTGGGGCAGGTTTGCCTATCCTAATCTTCTCTTTAGAATCTCTTACTTCATGTGTTTCTATGAGCTGGATCTACAGTGTGTCGGTCTTACTTCCCCCCCCCCCTCCCCTCCCTCCCCTTCCCACCTCTTGCTCTCTCCTCTTTATCTTTCTCCATCTCTCCCCTCTGAGGTCTCCTATCTCTGTCTGTCTCTTTCTCACTCTCTCTGCTGGTTTTGGCACTAGAATTCTGCCTGTTTTTCTACATAAATCCAGAATACCTGTGGCTTATGCTAAGCTTGGGGGTGTGTGTGCATGCACGTGTGCGCAGAGCGCGTGTCTGTGTGTCTGTCTGAGCTTGCACTCAGGACCTCATTCATGCTCTCACTTGGCTTTTTTACTCCTGGGGTATTTTACCACCAGAGCCATGCTTCCAGTCTGGTGTTTTGCTCCTTATTTTGGAGATCGAGTCTCAGACTCTTCTGTCCAGGCTGGCTTTCTACTGTGATCCTCCAGATTGTAGCCTCCTGAGTAGCTGGGATCAAGGCGTGAGCGTGGCGCTCGCCAAGGCCTTCATGCTGAACTAGCACACAAAAGTCCGTGTCTTTTGAAGACAGACTGAAGTTCCATTTTGTTGGCATTGTTAACTTGTATTTGAGAACTTGGCAGGATCGTGCCCGCACTTCAGGATGAATTTGGGGTCCACGCGAGCTCTGCTGGCCCCCCTGCCGCCGGCCTGGCTGCCCCCTGCCGCCGGCCTGGCTGCCCCCTGTCGCTCTGCTCACAGCGCCAGCTCAGTGTCCTACCATGTGGATGAGGCAGTCCTGTGGCCGTTTCTGCCGGGCTGGCCTCCTGGCCTGCAGAGGCTCCTGCTGTGGGGCCATTGACCCTCTGCACCTGCGGGCAGTGGGGCAGTGGGAGGCTGCCATCCCAGCAAGGTCACTGTGGGAGACAAGCTGGTGAGGCCCGGGGAGCCAGGCCCAGGCGGGACCTTGTCCCTGGAGGGCCTCTGTGGAGGACCGGGAAGTGAGTCCAGGCCCAGGTGTGAAGGTCAAGTGTAGTGCGGAGGTCTTGGCTTCCCTGGGAAATCTTGGTCTTGGTTCCCAGGACTCCCCCTGAGGGGCCCAGTGGACCTGGGGCTGAGCCCCACAGGTCCCCGGGGGGCCGGCCTGAGGGGCTCTCAGCACCACCTAGACCTGCACCTCCCCCTCCACATCCCCACATTGAAGCCAGGACAGAGGCGGGGTGATGCTGAGCAGCTTTATTAGGACCAGTGGGGAGACGGCGTGGGGGAGTGGCCGGGAGGGGAGGGCGGGTTATGGCTCAGGAGTAGCTAGACCAGCTGGGAGGGGCATCCTCCAGGGCAGATCCTGGGAGCAGCAGGACTCCTGGCCAGCAAGGGGCAGATGGTCCCTGAGGGAGGGGTCCCTTGTGCCCTGTGGCTGGCAGGTTGTGGGGCAGGAAGTGGAGTGACGCTGTGGTGAGGACAGGACTTAGAGGACACTCTAGAGCTCAGCAGCTGCACTGGCCCGGGGAGCCGCCACAGCAGGCCTGGCGGGAGCAGGCAGGGCGGCATAGCAGGGACACGCATGAGGCCGCCGGGCGGCAGCAGCCGGGCTGGCAGCAGGGGGCACAGCAGGAGGAGGTGGGCACGCAGCAGGTGGGCCTGCTCATGGGCCTGCACAGCAGGGACACGCTGGAGGACGGCGGGTAGGGGAGGCAGCAGGGCTGGCAGCTGGACGGCTGGCAGCTGGACGGCTGGCAGCAGCAGGAGGAAGCCCCGCAGCACACGGGCTCACAGCACACGGGTCTGCAGCACACAGGCTCACAGCACACGGGTCTGCAGCACACAGGCTCACAGCACACGGGCTCACAGCACACGGGTGTGCAGCACATGGGCTCGCAGCACACGGGCTTACAGCAGACAGGCATGCAGCAGGATGCCTGGCAGGCTGAGCAGGGGCAGCAGCAGGGCTGGCAGCTAGACGGCTGGCAGCAGGAGGGTGTGCAGCAGCTGGCGCAGACGGACTGGCAGCAGGGGCTGGACGCACAGCCCGCTGGGGAGCAGAGGAAGGTGAGGCAGGGGGCGGGGGCGCAGCCGCGGGGCTGGCAGCAGCTGGGGGCGCCGCAGGGCTCGCAGCAGCTCTCTGGGCAGTCGTCCACCTGCCAGGAGGCGTCGGTGCAGGAATCGCAGGAGCCGGGCAGGCAGACCCGGCTGTCATAGCTCAGGTCACTGGAGCAGACGGACATGGTGGAGGCGGCCATGGCGGCGGGGCTGGGAGGAGCTGAGGGTCTGACTGTGGGGGAGTGGGTGGGTGGGGGGTGCCCTGCCCCTGGGCTTTTCTCCCCTGCGGTGTGTTTGTCTGTCTGGAGCCTCAGGTCCTTCCCTTTCCATGTTGCTCTGGGTGCACGAGGACCTTCATTAGGGCTCAGCTCGTAAACTTCCTGGTGCTGGGCGGGGCTGGGGCCTGCGCGTGGCTCTGCTGGGCATCTCAGGACCCGTGGGGACGGTGGCAGGGCTGACCGCGTCCTCCTCCCAGGCCTCACCGCCAGCGGCCTGCCCGGGCTCCTGTGGGACACTCTGTCCCCAGCCTCTGCGCCGGTGGCCTCAGCCGGGTCAGATGGACAGAACTGAGCGTCTGCGCCCAGACAGCGGAAGAACAGCCCTCCTGGGGGCTCTGGGTCGCTGTGGTCTGGTGCTGTTGCAGGCACTGGCCTGGATCTCTCCCTGGGGAGGACACCGGCGTCCACCCTGGCCTGGTCTCCGGGAAGTGGGTGTGTTTGTAGGACACACAAATTCGACACCAAGCCTGACCTTCCTGTCCATCCAAGGCCCACTGGAGCCGCCACGTGCACGGGAGAGGTGGTCAGGGGAGGGCGACACAGCCTGGTGGAGGGGGGCGAGGAGGAGGGTCACCTGGAGATGCTAAAGGACACACGTGGTCAGCTGGGCAGCGGCTCTGGCCCAAGGATGGGCAGGCATGATCATGCCCTCTATGGGATGACTGTCCCGGCTTGGCTGGCGGGTGGCTCAGTGGGAACCCATTTCCCAGCATCCTGTCGGCCTTGTGGGGGTAAAGAGCAGGCTGGACAGGCAGGGAGCCCCTCCGGCCAGAGGTCCTGCCCAGGGCAGTGGAGGGGGAAGGGCAGGGATGGGGAGACAAAAATCAGACTGAGAAATCTGAACCAGGTTCAGAGCTCCCCTGCCAGACACCCACCAGGTCGGGACCTTCCCACCACGCCCCGCCGACCCCGGGGTCAGGACCGTGAACACCGCGTCTGTGCGGTCTCGGGCATGGTGTTGGCCGGGCAGGCGGGCTCTCTGGACAGCTGGGAGGGGTCCTCAGCTGCTGTTGGGCAGAGAGCTTCACCAGTCCACGCAGCCTGGTTGGTTCACTGTGTTCTTCAAGACGTCGGTGTCATGACATGACTTTTGTCTTCGACTCGTGTCATATGACCTCTTTGTTAGCAGAAGTGGTTTGTGGAGCTATTTCTTTCTTGGTTCTTTCCACTTCTGCTTCCTGTTTCTGGATCTACATGTTAGGTACATAAATGTTCACAGTGATCTTATATTCTTGATGGATTGATATTTAATGCCGTTATCTGATTCATAACTATTTTATAGTACCAGGCTTGGGACTTGAAATTGGGGCCTGGGCACTGTCCCTGAGCTTTTTTGCTCAAGGCTCATGTTCTATCACTTGAGCCATGCTCCACTCTTGGTTTTTGGTGGTTAATTGGAGATAAGTGACTCACAGACTTTCCTGCCTGGGTTGGCTTTGAACAGTGAGCCTTAGATCACTAGCCAAAAAACGTCCCCAAAGAAAAGCGCAGAGACACAGGGTGTCTCTGTGGGACAACACAGAGGGAGAAAAGAATGCTCACCCCCTTCTAAACTTCTACCACATAAAAGAGGAACACTTCTGAAATCACTGTGTGGTCAGCATTTCCCTACTAAAACAAAACAAGCAAAAAGTAACTGTTTCACTGTCTTTTATACATACGGATTCAAAAACCCTTCACAAAAATACAAAGCAAGGAAACGGAGCAGCAGGCGCCCGGATTTCACAGCCAGACACATGGGGACCGACCAGGACGTTTGAAAATCCACCTCTGGGACTCAGACACAGAATGGAGGCAGACCACAGGCCCATCTCCGTGGATTCAGAAAAGCCAGTTAACAAAAGCCAACACCTTCTCCTGATGAAGACAAACCCACCAGACGCACAGCAATCAGAGAGGACTGGTGCCACACTGCCCAGGGTGACATAACACTGGTGTGCAGGCCCACAGCTTGACTTCAGGTCAGAGACCAGACACAGAGGCCCACACCGCCACCAGCCACAGGTCCTCAACCCCACCCTCAGGTCAGAGACCAGCCACGGACCCTCGACCCAGACTGGACGTAGCAGAGAACTTAGGCAAGGAAAACTGAGGGAGGTGCAAATCAGAAAACAAGAAGTACAATCCACGCGAGCGTGGGACCTTCCACCACCGAGCTAGTCCAAACTCATGAAGATGCTCAAAAAATATGATTTACTTCCAAACTGTGGGAATGAAGGCAGAGGTGCTGGCATGTCGGTCCATGGACCGATTCTGAGTCTTCCAACACACACAGTGCCACACTCACATCACATCTGAAGATTAACTCACAGTGGATTAAAAAAAAAGACCTAAACACAGGAACTCAAGGACTTTGAGAAGGAAACATGAAGGGAAGAAAGCATAAGCAACAAGAGAGGAAAAGAAAGCAGGGAAATCAGACTTCATCACAATTCAAGATGCTCTGTGCAAGGGAAAACAAATCAAGAGCTAAGATGATAGCGCGTGGAACGTGGGAACCCCGGAAGCTCACACCCAGAACACATGAAGAACACGCGCTGGGCGCTGGCTTCACTCCTGCAGTTCTTGCTACCTGAGGGGCTGAGCGAGGAGGACCGTGGTGTGAGCACACTCAAGAGACCCCCTGCTTAGCCAGTAGCGGGTGGAGGGGGGTGCAGATGTCGCGGAACCGGCCTGGCCTTCCCTAGGCAGCTGGACACAGAATTACACACACCCCTGCCATGGCACCCAAAGGAAGTGAACAGAATCGTGCAAACAAAAATGCGCACAAGTTCACACTCCCACAGGGAAACATCAGCGCTCAGCATTCGAGGTGTGGATCCGCCCGACGCCAGCTATCTGTGTGGAGGAAAATCACTCCCAGAAAAGAACACGCTCTGACCCTGTGACAATCCTGAGTGCACCTTGAAAGGACGCTGGGCGACAGAACCAGACACACAAGGCCCGCCTTCCCTCTGTGCTGACTGGTTTTGACAAAGCTTTAGCTTGACTGAGAAGAAATCCTAAGTGAGAGCGGGGCTCCCAGCACCAATGTCTTCTGATGGAAGGTTTAAACCGTGTGAATGGCAAGTTAGATAAGCATGCACAGGGACCTGACCCCCCCAAGTTAGATAATGCGTGTGCAGGGGCCAGACCCCCCCCAAGTTAGATAATGCGTGTGCAGGGGCCAGACCCCCCCCAAGTTAGATAATGCGTGTGCAGGGACCTACACACATGCACAAGTTAGATAATGCGTGTGCAGGGGCCAGACCCCCCCCCAAGTTAGATAATGCGTGTGCAGGGGCCAGACCCCCCCCAAGTTAGATAATGCGTGTGCAGGGACCTACACACATGCACAAGTTAGATAATGCGTGTGCAGGGGCCAGACCCCCCCCCAAGTTAGATAATGCGTGTGCAGGGGCCAGACCCCCCCCCAAGTTAGATAATGCGTGTGCAGGGACCTATACACATGCACAAGTTAGATAATGCGTGTGCAGGGGCCAGACCCCCCCCAAGTTAGATAATGCGTGTGCAGGGGCCAGACCCCCCCAAGTTAGATAATGCGTGTGCAGGGACCTACACACATGCACAAGTTGATAATGTGTGTGCAGGGACCAGCCTACACATACACAAGTTAGGTAACGCGGGTGCAGCCCACACGCACACACGTTCGTTAAATAACGCGTGTGCAGCCCCCCCACACGTTAGATAACACGTGTGCAGGGACTTACACACACACACATTAGATAACACGTGTGCAGCCCCCCCACGTTAGATAACACGTGTGCAGCCCCCCCCCCAAGCTCCTGCAGACACCAACGTGCCGACGTGCTAACACTGAGACGTGCGCTGGTATTCTCTGTCTGGCCGCGCTCGGGTCAGCCTGCCTCACCGCTACTGTGACGTGACGGGCTAGTGAGCGGCCCTCTCATCTTCTACCCCAGACAGTCATGACTTCTCCCTCGTTTTGTTTTCCTTTCGTGGCACTGGGAGCTAAACCAAGCCCCTTGCACACACTAGCCAAGCGCTGAGCCTCTGAGCTACCCTCCTAAGCTTGTGTTGTGTTGTGTCTATGCTGGGGCTTGAACTCTGGGCTAGTGCTCAGGGCTAGTGCTCTACCACCTGAACCACAGCCTCGTGTTGGCTTTTTGGGTGATTAATTGGAGAGAAGAGTTTCACAGACTTTCATGCCTGGGCTGGCCTTGAACCAAGATCCTCAGATCTCAGCGTCCTGAGTAGCTGGGGTCTTGGGCGTGAGCCAGTGGCACCCGGCTCTGTATGGATCAATTCTAGTTTGTTCCTTGGACGTGTAGATGTGTAGGTCCATCACATTTGGGAAGATTTGGCAGTTTGTTCTCCAAACACTTGGAATGTTTTTCCATTGCAGGAAAATACACATACTACGTAGGATCTTAAAGCTTAAAGTCCAGTGGCGTTAAATGCATTCACCCCCCACACAACCACCCATTCTCTCCATTTTGAAAAAGCTGACTCACCCTACTCTCTGAGCAGCGCTTCCCGCTGGGTCCCGCCGTTTGGTGTGTGTGCTTCTGTTTCTGTTTGTTTCAAGGCGTTTTTAAATTTCCCTGCTGACTTCCTCAAAATCATGCCAGAGAGGCCTGAAGCACACGTCTCCTCTCTTACGTGGAAGCTAGATCTAAAATACACGGGGCACAGGACCTGGTAAATGACACAGAACTCTAGGCATTCCCGCGCGGTGAGAGTAAGGAGGACTGCCGAGGGGAGGAACCCAAGTGTGGCTTCTCTGAGCATCCAAAATACTATTTTCAAAACGAATGTTGGGAGTGGAAGCATGCTTCTTGTTGGTGTTAGTAGGTGGTGGTGGTGGTGTTTGCTTGTGCTTTTTTTTTCTATTTAGGGGCCACATGGGGGCAGCACAGAGAGGGAGGGAGGAGGGCGAACAGAAGTCGTCCTGCTGCTCA